CCTCCAATTCTGATGCCACATTTTTCTTCATATAATTCAGTTCCTTGAGTTATTTGCTCAGCATACAGGTTGAGTAAGCATGGTGAAAGAATACAACCTTGGCACAAACCTTTCCTAGTTTTAAACATTGTGTTCCATTGTTCTGTTCAAACAAGTGCTTATTGGTCTATGTACAGGTTTGTTATGAGCACAGTTAAGTGTCCCGGAGTACTCAATGTTGTCCATAACTTGCCATGATCCACACTACCGAAAGCCTTTGTGTAATCAATAAAGCACAGGTAAACATCTTTCTGGCATTTTCTCCTTTCAGCTAAGCTGCATCTGATGTCAGCAATGTTATCCTTGTTCCATGTCTTTGTCTGACTCTGGCTTGAACCTCTGGAAATTCTCTGTCAATGTACTGTTGCAAGCCATTTTTGACTATCATTAGAAAAAAATTACTTGTATGTGATATTAATGATATTGTCCAGTGATTTCTGCACTCAGTTGGATCATTTTTCTTTGGAATGGGCACAAATATGGAGCTCTTCCAATCAGTTAGCCAGATAGCTAGCTGTCTTCCAAATTTCTTGGCATAAATGAGTGAATGCCTCACGTGCTGTCTCAGTTTGTAAAATATGGTGATAGGAATGATGCTGGTGATAACATGATAGAATTTTGCAAGACCAATGACTTGTTCATTGCAAATACCTTTTTAAAACAACATACACATGGGCCTTACCAGATGGCCTACACAGAAATCAAATTGATTATATCTGTGAAAAGAGATGGTGGAAACACTCCAGATCATAGTTGCCAAAGACCATCAATTGCTGGTATGCAAGTTAAGGCTGAAGCTGAAGAAAATTAAAACAAGACCTTGAACATATCTCACCTGAATTTGGAGATCATCTCAAGAACAGATTTGATACATTAGACACTAATGACTGAAGACCAGAAGAATTATGGGATGGCATCAAGAACATCATACATCAAGAAAGCAAAAAGTTAGAAAGAAGAGAAGGAAGAAGAAAAAGACCAAAATGGATGCCATAAGAGATTCTGAAACTTGCTCTCCAGCGTAGAGATGATAAAGCAAATGGAGCAAATAAGGAAGTCAAGGAGCAGAACAGGAAAAGTCAAAGGGCAGCTCGAGAAGACAAAGTCAAACATTAAAATGAAATGTGCAATGACCTGGGTTTAGAACAGCAAAAGGAATGAACATGCTCAGCATTTCTCAAGCTGAAAAAACTGAAGAAAAAGTTTAAGGCTCGACTTGCAATATATTGAAGGATTCTATGGGTAAACTGACAATGTTTCTCTGCTATTCATAGACTTTTCAGTGACTAGCGATTCGGAAGTAGTTCAAGGACTTGAAACATTTACTTATGAAGATCAAAGAGCACAGCCTTCAATATGGATTACATCTCAATGTCAAGAAAACAAAAATCCTCACCACTGGACCAATAAACAACATTTTTATCAATGGAGAAAAGATTGAAGTGTCGAGGACTTCATTCTTCTTGGATCAACTATCAACACTCGCGGAAGCAGCAGTCAAGAGATCAGACGACGTATTGCATTGGGCAAATCTGCTGCACAGGAATTTTTTAAAGTATTGAAGAGCAGAGATGTCAGCTTGAGGACTAAGGTGCGCCTGACCCAGGCTATGGTGTTTTCAATAGCCTCATATGGATGCGAAAGCTGGACGGTGAATAAGGAAGATGGTAGAAGAATTGATGCCTTTGAGTTGTGGTGTTGGAGAAGAATACTGAAAGTGCCATGGACTGCCAAAAGAACCAATAGATCTGTTTTGGAAGAAGTGCAACCAGAATGCTCCTTGGAAGTCAGGATGGCTAAGCTTCGTCTCTCATACTTTGGACATATTGTCCGGAGGAAATAGTCGCTGGAGAAGGATGTCATGCTGGGTAAGGTGGAGGGTCAGAGAAAAAGAGGAAGACCCCCAACGAGATGGATTGGCCAGGTGGCATCATTGATGGACTCAAGTGTGGCAGCGGTAGTGAGGTTGGCCCAGGATCGGACATTGTTTCGTTCTGCTGTGCATGGGGTCGCTATGAGTCGGTTCCGACTAGATGGCACCTGACAACAACAACAACAACATGGGCAAACTATTGAATGATACAGAAAGCATCAAAAGAATACGGAAGGAATACATAGTCATTGTACCAAAAAGAAATGGTGAATGTTCAACCATTTCAAGAGGTAGCATGTGATCAAGAGCCAATGATACTGAAGGAAGAAGTGCAAGGTGCACTGAAGGCAAAGAAGAAAGCACGGGGAGTTGATGGAATACAAATTGAACTCTTTCAACAAACTGATGTAGCCCTGGAGGCACTCACTCATCTAGGCCAAGAAAATTTGGAAAATAGCTACGTGGCCAACTGACTTGAAGAGATCCATATTTGTGCCCATTCCAAAAATAAGTGACCCAACTAAATGCCAAAATCATCAGACAGTATCATTATTAATATCACATGCAAGTAAAAATTTGTTAGAGATAAATACAAGTATGTAAGTATTTATAAGAAGATCACAGAGGTCCCTTCTGGAAGGTCAAAGTAGACTTTTGGCTTAGAGGTGGGGAGACTTCTTCCTTTCTCTTAAATTATTAAGTAGACAATATATGTTGTTGTTAAGTGCCATTGAGTTGGTTCTGACTCATATTGACCCTGTATAGGGTTTCTGAGGAACAACTGGTGAGTTTGAACTATTGACCTTGGAGTTGAGTGCTTATCCTACAGCACCACCCCAAGACAATATACAGGGTAAAACACATTTTTAACCATAAAGCGAAGTCTCCATCTGCTCATTTCCATATGCAAGTACAAGTAAACGTAGCTTTATGTTCTGATCTTCCTCCAACATGGTCAACATAGCAGATGCTTTGCGCTGATTTTTTAAATTTTTAATATTTTTATCAGATCTCTTTTCATGTTGGAAACTAGAGAGCTTCCGTAATCTCTTGTACAGTTGCACACTATTATTGTGCTTGCTGAGTATGAAGAGCAAGGAAGTCCAGCCGGAGCCAAGTGAGGGGAGGAGAATAGGAGGGAAGGAGAGATGAACAGATCATACAGGGGTGGAGGGGCTTGCTTCGTAGGTGGCGGGAAAATTCTCAGTTTTGCTCTGGGTGAGGTGGGAAGTTCTGAGCACAGGAGGAAGTTGACCTTAGGGGTTCGCCAAGCTCTCCAGACGCTGAGAAGAGAACTCAGTGGGGGTGGGATAGGGCTGGGGTGATGAAGCTGGAAGACCAGGGAGGAGGGACTGCGCTAGTTCAGGTGGGAGATGATGGGGATGGGTCCAGGTGGGGGTGAAAGGAGAAGAGAAGTTAAGACGTAGGAAAATTCTAGGTCGATTCTGGAGCGGCTTGGACTTGCTGTCATATCAGATGGGATGAGGGTCAGAAAAAAAGACATCAAGAAGCTCCAAGGTTTGAGCCCTGAGCACCTGGCAGGGCGGACCCAATCCTTACTTAGCTAGGTCAGGAAGGACATAGGAAGGCAGGTTGGAATTGGGATGTGGTGGGACTGAATGTGAGGAGTCCTTGCATGCCCAGATCAGGCATCTGGAAGGGAGGTGTCCTCGACGGGGCCGCTGCGCTGCGCCTAAAGCCACCGCCAGGGGGCAAGCGCGCCCTGTTGCGCTCTAACTTGAAGGGCGGGGCGCGGGAACGGCCGAACGGACTCCTTCTCACCGTCTGGTGGCCTCGCAGCATCTCACCTGGGTGCGAGATAGGGACACCGAGGTGTCAGTCAGGTCCAGGTCCGGACCCCCCCAGGCGTCTCCAGGGCCCCAAAGCCTGGGACGCGGCTTCCACCCCTTTAAACTCCAACCCCCAACCTTGACTAGGCCTCTGCCTTTGGGGTTCCCACCGCTTCCAACACCATCTCAAGTCTCTGCAAAAATGTCACCTCACCCCAAAGGCCTTTCTTGACCACCCTGTGGATAGAAGACTCCACAAAGCTGTCTGAGGCACACTCCATTTCAATATCTTCTTTCAAGACTCTGAAATCACCTTAGTGAATGTTTAAAATGTTTTCCTCACCACAATATAAAATCTGTCACAGTGAGGGACTCTATTATCCCTTTATCTCTTGCACTCTTTATCCCCAGAGCCCAGAATTATGTGCAGCCTGTAACGAATTAAGTGCAAAAATAAAAAGAAAGATACATAACTGACTCGTGGGTGTTTACTATGTATCATCCTCTGTTTTAAGCTCCAGCTGCTCCTTGGAAACCCTACACAGGGTCACTATGGGTGGGAATTGACTCCAACGACAACAAATAAAGTATTGAGTTCTCAGAACAACCCTGTGAGGTAGGCAGGTTTTGTTGTTGTTGTTAAGTGCCGTCGAGTCGGTTCTGACCCATAGCGACCCTGTACAGGGTTTCCAAGGGTGTAAATCCTTACGGGAGTAGAAAGCCTCATCTTTCTCCCGCGGAGCAGCTGGTAGTTTTGAACCGCTGACCTTAAAGTTCGCAGCCCGATTCGTAACCACTACGCTACCAGAGCCCCTCTGTTATTATCCCCATTTTACAGATGAGGAAGTTAAGGCCCAGAGTGGTTAAGGTTGTGCATTCAGAGAATTGCAATGCTGGGATTCTAACCCAGAAAGCCTGTGATCTTGCTAAACTAACAAATGGGGGGTCAGGACCCAGAAAGCAGTCCTTCAAAGGCCTTAGGTATTGTGCCCATCAGCATCCTGCCCTAGACCTGCCTTTCTTGGTCCCTACAGCCCACCCACCCTCAGGTCCAGTCCCAGGCTGGGTGGTGGGGTGGGAACCCAGCAGGGCCAGGTTTACATTCCTCCCCTGCCACTCCCTCCCCCTCTCCCCCTCGGTTGTGGGTTTACTGAGGCACCTCCTACGTTGCCCAGTAGGGGGGCAAGTGAAGTAAAGAGGGTCTGGTGGGTCCAGACTCCATTCGCCAGACAGCAGGATCCACTGCCCAGGACCCTGAGCCCAGTCCCAGATTGATGGACAGACAGATGGACAAGCAGATGCTCCTTAGCCACCTGACCACTCTCCTGAGCTTGTTCAGTGTGGCCTGGCTGCCTATAGGCTCAGACCTGGCACTTGTACCCCAGGGCCCTCCACCTCAGCTCTGGGCTGCTGCCAATAGAACTTGGGCTCTGAGCCGAGAGTCCCTGAGCCCCCAGGTGCCAGCCTCTGCCCTTGACAGCTGGAAAGCCTTCTTGAGCTTGCAGAAAAACAGGTGGCCAAAGACTGTGGCCACTGCCACCACTGTGACTCTGCCACTGGACCCTCAGGAAATGGCCCGGGAATCGTGCAAAGCCAGGCCCTTCACTCAGGTGAGCCGGTCAGGGAGGGGGGACTGGGTCTCAGTACTGGCAAAGAGTACAAGCTGCAGCCTTGGCTAGGCCTGGGTTCAGGTCCTGCTTCTTCCACCTAGATGATTGTCAGCCTACGTTTCCTCTTATGTAAAATGGACTATAGTTCTCTCCTGCCATGGCCTGCGCAGTCAACTCCATCTGTTCTCTGGGTTTCTACTCTTGGCAATCCCCAGCTATTTTCCATTCATCCACCAGAGGGCACCTGTGAGCTCCTGCGTTCTATCAGGTTCTGCTCAGACCCTCCCAGGCTCCCACCTCAGACAGCAAAAGCCTGTCTTCCCAGAGGCACACAAGGCCCCCATACTCAGCCTTCATCACCTCTGCCCTCCTCTCCCCTTACTCACTCTGCTCCAACCACATCTATCTCCTCCTTGTTGCTGGCACACAACTAGGTTATATTTACCTCAGGGCCTTTGCACTGGCTGTTCTCGTTGCCTTGGGCACTCTTCCTCAGACATCCTTTTCTTTTTAAGTTTTTATTGTGAGGTTTACATGGGAGAACATCAGCTTTATACTCATCCTATTGTATTTTGTTCCATTGCAATGATTACAATCCCCTCCATGCATCATCAAATAACCAAAGCTCTGGTAGCGTAGTGGTTACGAATTAGGCTGTGAACCGCAAGGTCAGCAGTTCGAAACTACCAGCTGTTCCCTGGAAGAAAGATGAGGCTTTCTGCTCCCGTAAAGATTTACAGCCTCGGAAACCCTGTATAGGGTCACTATGAGTCGGAACTGACTCCATGGCACATAACACCAC